TAGTTTCACTGATATGTCTGGGGGTGAATATATCTGTATTTATCTTGCTTTGGATAGATTGACTTTGTGAACCTAAAGACTGGTCTTTCACCAGTTTTGACATATTTTCAGTGATTATCTATTTAAATATTGCTTTTGTCTCATCCTCTCATTTTACCCTCTCCATTTGGAATTCTAAAATACTAGATCCTCTCCCTCAATTTTAAATGTCTCTCAACCTCTTTTTTCTTTATCATCCTAGGCTGATTTTAAATAATTTCTTCAGGTCTATTTTCCAGTTTACTAATTTCTTTCCTTTAACAATGTCTGTCTAACTGTTTAATACATCCATTAAGTTTTTAATTTTATTATTTTTAATATTTTTCATGCTTGAAATTCTATTTTATCCTAATATGACTGATCTTTTTATAGTCTCTTGCTTCTTATTCATATTTTAAATGTGTTAAAATTTTTATTTAAATATATTATACAACTTATTTTATATCCTGTCTGATAGATTCAATACCTGAAGACTGTGGATCAAATTTGGCTGTCCAAAGCTTTTGCTGGTGTTTGCTCTGGGTGCTTTGTTTCATCCCTATCTTTGTGTGTGTGTGTGTGTGTGTGGTTTTAAGTGACTGCATATCCCTTGGAACTCTAGCTGTGGGAAGTCTGTGGCCCGAGTTAAAGGGGTCTTTCCCCAGAGAGAACTTGTACACACTTTTGCAGATGCCTAAGAACTTCCAACAACTTTAAGCTAAATACTATTCTTGAGGTTTTCTGGACCAGGAAATATTTTGATTTTAAGTTATAAATCTAAGGGAAGGATTCATAGAAGACAATTTTTTCCTATCTTCCCAACAGAAGCCTGAGAGGGTGAGGATGGGAGTATCTCTAATTCATCTTTATACTGAGATCATTGGCCTATGGAGTCCCAGCTTCATGGGAGCTGTGTGTGTGTGTGTGTGTGTGTGTAGGGAGGGAGGATATGTTATTACACTCTTTATCTTGGGCAAGCCTTGGGCTTTGTATTCTGTTCTTGTACTCTATGAAATTGAGAAAACAATCTTGAAGTCACTAGATTCTTCAAATAGAACAGACTCAGGCTTTCTCTAGGTTCCTACTTTCCCTTAATTATTGGTCTCTGTATTAGTTTCCTTGGGCTGTGATAACAAAGTACCGTAAGCTGGATCACCTAAAAACCCAGAAATGTGTTCTCTCACAGTTCCAGAGGCTAGACGTCTAAAATCAGGTATTGGCCATGCTCCCTCCAAAACTTCGAGAGAAGAAACCTTCCTTAAAAGAAGGCTCCTTCTTTCAGCTTCTGGTGGCCTCACGCATTCCTTGACTTGTGGCAACATAACTCCATTCTCTGCCTCCATCTTCTCATGGTCATCTTCCCCGTGTGTCTCTCATAAAGACCCTGTAATGTTGGATTAGGGTCCACCCTCGATCACTAAGACCCTGTTTCCAAATAAGATCATATTCACAGGTACAAGGGGTTAGAACTTCAGCATATTTTGGAGGGGATGCAATTCCACCCATAACATTCTCTAACAATTTCTTAATTCCTTGCCAGCTTTCAAATGCTTTCTTATATATCCTAGCACTTTCATAGCCATCAATTATGTAATCATTATGAATTCTACACAACATCAGCTCTTATTTCCCACTCTTCTCATTCTGCTTGGCCATAGTAGCTCTTTTCCTTCTCCCACTAAGTTGTGGACTTAGAAATCATAAGTTTAAAAAAAACACACATTAGAAATGATTGCAAGATAAGAATAAGGCTTTAAATGGAAACTCAGCAGACACGATAATGAATAAAGTAGAAGGTAATTGCTGCAAGGACATTGTAATACCTTTTTTTGGGTGTTATAAGGGCTTTTATCTCTAGATCACTGTGGTATAACTATCTAGTCTTTCAAATCATAAAGACCTGGGGTTGGACTCCTTCTCCCCATCTTATAAATTGTATGACCTTGAGATGATATGTAAGCTCTTAATTTCACAATGTCCTCATCTGAAAAAAAAAGGAATATTACACTAGCAGCTACTTTTTAGGGTGTTTTATAGGTGGATGGCATAAGCAAGGTGCCTAGCACAATCGCTGGCACAGAGCGGGTACTGAATAATTGTGCAAATGACACTATTTCTGTGTTCCAGATGGGTAAGGACCTTGAATAGTGGCCTCGGACTAAATGAGGTGAGAAAAGCAATGTCTCTCATTTTCACACACAATCCTGTGGGGTAATTGATGGGAAATCCTAGAAGAGGAAAGGGAGGTTCAGAGATATTAACTTATAAAACATAAAAGAAAAACACTGACAACCACACAAAACGTGAACATCTATTTTAGAGATGCTCAGCAGTTCCGTGTTCTTTACAAAGGGAACTAGAATTCAAATGAACTAGCCCCACCTCTGTTCTCAGCTCTGCCAGCCAACAAGTTGCTGGGTCCCTGCTTTAAAAGCCACCTTTCCTTCAGCTCCGATGACACTTCATCTCCGTAAAGTAGGAGGGAAGAGATGAAGGAAAAACCAGCCAGGCAACATTTTGCACTGTATTTTACACCCTGAACACGAAACCACCAAAGATTTTTAACAAGTATTTGACAGGCTTACCCAGGCCCATGCTCAGAACAGCTTTATAACCTAGGCAAGGGGAAGCCAGAAATCTCCCATCACTCCGTGATTGACTCACAGACGTGTTGGAAGCAGAGTTCACAAATCTAATTCCTTTCTCCGTTCCAGATATTTTTACCCAGAGAGCATAAGTGACTAGAGGCTAACCTGCTCGCTCAGCCAATTCCTGGCAGCAACTCCTAGTGAAAAAGATTATGTTTGGGGGCAAGCATTTATCCAGGAGCGGCGCTGAAATGAGATGGTTAGGACGCAGGTGGCGGATAAATGACCAGTGTAGGGACAGCTTTAAAAATGAGGTGGTTATGCAGGCACTGCCCTCTATGAATATATTAGCTCCCCAATAAGCCTGTGCATTTGACTGCCTCCAAAGCACTGTCTCAGGTTCAGGGAATACAGTTGTCAGAAAGTGTTTTCTGAGCTCTTCTTCAGAGAAGCTGCTCCTGCTGCCAGTCCTCAAAGCCCTAGTGTTCAGGCTAGGGAACAAGTCCAGCTCACACAGTACCTGTCAGGCCACTGCAGGTGGTGTGAGATGCTCATTGGAGGTGCCCAGTCTCCCCTCAGGGCAAGGTGGAGGATGTGCGGGACCAGCAGGCTATCCAGTGGGTGGGAGGGCTAAGGGGGTCAGAGTTGACAGGAAGGTATGTCCAAGCTGAAGTCCCTGAGTAGGAACTGAATATTAGAAACTGGAGACACCAGGCACAGACAGACACCAAGGCCAAAGGTGTGAGAGTGGATCACCGGTAGGAGCCAGCCAGGCATCGGTGCAGTGTGCAGGGGGGGCTGACAGTGCGTGCATGGATGTGTCAGGCTGCTTAAAGATCCCCATGGAGAGGACAGTGGGGACCACTGAAGGGACCAGCCACAGTTTGAATGTTGGGTTTTTCATAGGATCACAACCTAGATAGAGGCATGGGCTTCCCCCTAGGACCAGGTCCTTTGTTGTATCCATCATCCCATTCTTGCCAACCACCAGGGGACCTGTGCATGCCATCAGACATGGGGAGGGGTTCATTTTGGAATTATCTTTTTGCCGGAAGCCAGTTCCAGCATGTCAGCAGGGTTGATTCATCTGGAGTGGCAAGGGCATTTCCCCAAACCTGAAAAGGGTAATTGCTTGCTGCCAGACAGCTCAGGGCATCTCAATCTACATGTTATTGCCTCCTACTGGCCAAACACCCGAACAGCCAAAGGCAATTCCCCAATCTGAGAATGGATTCTGTACCTGTATATCTCCACCTTGCCTTAGGACAAATTGTGTTAATAAATAGCAAGGGGTCCTGAGACAAGGAGAACTTGGTTTTCTTTCGCTAAGTCTTCTCTGACTCCCTATAGTGCCTTTCAAAATTATGTTTCAAAAAAAAAAATTATGTTTCATACCTGGACTCTTATTTAATTTACGCACAGCACCTTCTCCAGATTGCTGAACCCTTCTTGATGCCGGATTAAGACCCCCGGCATCTTTTCATGGGCCCAGGGAAAGGGGCAGAGCCTAGGAAATGTTCCTCTAGGATGAGAAACTAAATGGTGTCTATTGAGGATTCATACCATGCAGTGATGGCTGTGATGGTCCCCATGCTTTGAGGTGGGATTGGGGCCACCTCCAGAAAATGGTATGAGGTATGAACGGGTCTGAGGGTCTGACCAGCATGGAATGTTTTGCTGTTTATATTCCATGAGTTTATTTCCCTGTAGCTCTCTCTTGATAAAGGCTTTAGAACTTTAGGGGCCACTGTGGAGGAGACAGAGAATATGAGTGAGAGATCCCAAGGGGAGGTGACTCTGAGGGTCAATCTTGTTCATCCAGCCTTTGATGCCTGCACCTGGAGCACAACTTTGCTCACTGCGGAGAAGCATATGTTTGGTTTTAACAAAGAGGTTGTTTCCTTGAGTTGGGAGCTCAACTCTTCCATTTCCCTACCCCCAACCATGCAGTCTCTGAGGTTTCTTCCTGAAAATTCTGTAGGTGCCATCCTGTGTCACTACCTCATCCCCATCAGTGCTGCCTGCATACAGATGAACCAAGCTTAGTGAATGGTTGAATCAGTACATGACCCTCAACCTTGAGCCCCATTTCTCCACCCCCTAGACCAGTGGTTCTCAACCTTCCTAATGCTGCGACCCTTTAATTCAGTTCCTCATGTTGTGGTGACCCCCAACCACAAAATTATTTTCATTGCTACTTCATAACTGTAATTTTGCTACTGTTATGAATTGTAATGTAAGTATCTGATATGCAGGATGTATTTAGGCAACCCCTGTGAAAGGGTCGTTCGACCCCCAAAGGGGTCGCGACCCACAGGTTGAGAACCGCTGCCCTAGACTCATTCACTCTTTGGGGAGCTGAGCCAAGCCCTGTGGGTGAGAATCCCTGCTCACCCTGATCCCGAGCTCGACGTTCTCGCCTCCATAGACTTCCATGCCTTCATCCAGTAAGCCAATCTCCTGGAAGTACTGGCGGTCCACAATGAAGCATCCAATGAGGGCTGGGCTCCTGCAGAGGTGAGGGGAGGTGGGCCAGGTTAGCAGAGGGGCTGTCTCATGGTGCTGTCAGGGGAGTGAGAGCACTGGTACCTTCCCACCAAGAGGAGCTGGTCCTTTTCCTTCCTTTGCTGCCAAAGCTGGTGCAGAGCTGGTTCTCTGAGCAGCCCTCATAGGTCTACCCTCACCAGCTGCCCCAGGGAGGCTATTTCAGCAGGGCTGCAGCAGCCAGCTCCTGTCCTGGGACCAGCCATCAGCCCCCTGGTGCTTGCATTTGTGTTAGCCCACAGAAGTGGTGCTCAGCCTGCCAGTCTGGGTTGAACGTCTGTATCTATAGTTGCCCTGGCCCCTGAACTTTGAACTGCACAGCCCTTCTCTGTTTCTACCTGGGCGCCCTGCCAACTTTCTCACCCTTCCCCAACTTGGGTTCTGCATGCCAACCTTGGTCCACTTAGAAAAGTTAGCTGGGGCGTTGGCTAGCATGGTAAATAATTTGGATTTTATCTATAGACAAAGGAGGGTCCCTGAGAAACTTTAAGCAGACAGTGGTATGAGCAGATCTGTGTTTTTAAAGATCTGTGTTTTAATCCTTGAGCAGCTGAGGGAAGTCAGATTGTAGGAGATTGTATGGAAATTAGGAATCCAGTTAGGGAGCCTGTTGCTGTATCCATCTAGCCCTGGAAATGATGAGGACCTGGGCCAAGAGTGGAGATAGGGATTGTCTAAAGACATATTTTACTATAAAATCAGCAGAACTTTGAAAGAGATGAACTATGGAGGTAAGAGCGAGGGGGGGATCTGGATGGCAGCTGGCTTTCTGGCTTAGGTGATGGTGGGGTGGAGCCACACATCAAAATTGGGTACAGAGAAGAAGCTGGCTTCAGAAGCAAGAAGTATTCCTTGCTGGGGACACTGGTCTAAGGTGCCTGAGGGGCCCTGTGGGGAGATATCCAACAGGTAGGCCTGAGATAGGACACCTGGTCTAGAATTCAGCATGGGTCTTAGGCTGGAGCTACATGTCCACAGTTAGTAGGTCCAGCAGCTGGAAGGCCTTTCCTTGGTGAGCATGAGCGTGGGGCTCACCGACTGTGTGGATGCCCAGCACGGAACTTTACCAGGAGTGACCCACGTTAGGTGAATCAGCATGAGGGTGTGTGGGCTGCTTCTCTGCTGGGAGCCATGACTCTGCATTGTTCCACTGCACACGGCTACCATTTCTAGTTCTTGTGTAGCAACCTATCAGCTGGTGGCTGAAGGATTTGGAGGGGAAGAGAAAAAAAGGAGAAATGAAGACTCTTCAGCGATAAGAAAACTGGTAATCACATGCAAACAGACCCATCTTTGAAAGTGGAAACTCATCCACGTGGGGAAACAGCTATTCTGCAGGCTATGTCTTTGGAGAGTACTGAGGCCAGAAGCTGCTCAGGCAGAGACTGGTGCCTGGGGGCCCCTGTCCCTCCTCCTTTCAATCACAGCATTTTATTCTGAATGGCTTCACCTTCCCTAGATCGCAGGTACGTAGGGTGGTCAGTCCACCTCAAGCACTTCTCCTAAGCAGAGTGAATTCCTGCTCTGGTGGGAGACGCTTGACCTTGGCCTTGGAAGTGAGTGCCTTGGAAAAAATCCCCATTATGGCTGTTTCTTTGAGAGAAGTTCCCTAGCCTCTTTGAGCCTCTGATTCCATATCTATGAAATAGAATCCACTATATAACCTCACAGGATGAAATTAAGTATTGAAATCCTCTGGGACATAATTGGTACTCAAAAGATCATTTTAAAAGAGGCACTTGCCCATTACAAAAGCCCAGAGAATCCCCTCTGTAAATCATGGTGACTTAAGACATAAGCCCAACAGGCAGGCAGAGTGGGTACTCAGCCTTTCCCTCAGCATCCTGCAGTGCTGAACTGAGCTGGCACCGCTGGACACATAGGACGGAGCCATCCCCATCTGGCCAGACCCAGTCAAGGAAAGCGCACAGGCCACCTCAGGCAGTCCGTCACTTATTAACCAGCGAGGGTATTAAGTGGGCTCAGTCAGCCTGAAAGTTGTGTTAATTTATACCTTGTCTCATTCCCCCCCAAATTAGAAAAAGCTTACAAGAAAAATGTAAAATACATGGAAAATAAAATAGATAAGTGTCTGAAGAGACAAAACATTCACAATGAAGTTGGGGGCTAGTTAGAATGCATGTGCAGCATTAGGTCCTTCTTCAAGTGGATCCACAAAGTAGACCCCGAGCTTCCTGGTGGCTGAGGTGAACATGAGCATACCTGGTCTTAGAAATAAGATTTATGGGTCCCATGTGGAAATAGCATTACTAATTCCTCAGGGATAGCAAGGGTTTCTTTGACTGGCAGTGAAGTTGAAAGAAATCTCTGATGTCAGTCTTCTTTAAGAGGTCAGTCACTTCAGGACACAGTGAAAAACTATCTCAAAGACACCCCTGCAGAACGCAGCAGAAGATACCTCTGGGCTCTTGCTGCAGCTTATGCAGTCTGTGGACAAAGCACCAAAGTACAGCCCATGGAAACGGGCCCAGGTGGGCATGATACATTTATATAACCGACAACTTTCTGCGGAGCTGTCTTTATCTAGGGATAAAACCAGGGATGTTTTCTCCATTAATATACTTTCTCTCAGCCAAGGTCTTTCTAGCAAGCAGGGGAAGGAAAATTTGAGAGTGAGACGCTATTCTTTGTGAAGGACCCAGAATATGGGTTTACGAAGACCAGGCTGAAGCAACTAACATCAGTGCAGGCGTCTGTAAGAATGCTTGTTACGTGGTGGCGTATTTCCCTCCAAAGATCAACAGACCTGGGCAGAATTCAGCCACCCCAGGCCTGAGCTCAGGGTGGGTGACTAGGGGGATGACAACTAGGCATGGGATCTAGCTGACCTGGGTTTGGATCCTGGCTCCCCTGGCCAGAGCCTTTGGCAGGGCCATTCTCCTTCGCCAGCCTTGCTCTCCTCATCTTGTGAAGCAGGGATGACACAATAGCTGTCACCAGGTTGATGAGGAACAAATAAGACCATGTGTGTAAAAGGTCCTTGCACACAGGGACCTCCAAACAAATATTGAACAACACAAAATTGTGGCAGGGGCCTAACAGATAGGTAGTCAAGATAAGCACAGGAGAGCCAGGTGGAGTTCTCTTCCATCCCGTTTTAAATATGAATACAGTGTGTGTTTTTTCTTCTGGCAAGGAAGTTGTGATCTTAGATAATAATCACCCCTCTCAATTACACTTTTCATAATCTTCCTTCCTCATGTAATACAAAGTGACATCGAGTTTCTAATCTCTTTCATTCCAGGGACTGTCCCCTAGGCCACCTTCTGGTGTGTCTGTGCGTTTAACACGCAGCCCTTTGCAGGGAGCACAAAGGCGCCTGATCTGTGATTAACCAGACAGAAACAAGGGCTTGTGGGGACGGCTGTTTCAGGAGTTCTGATTCATAAAACAGGCTGCACATGGGAGTCATTCGGGGGTCTATGAAGGTAGCAGCAAAGGCTGGAAGGGTTTGGGACCTTTGAAATGCAGTTTGAAGTTCCTTTCGTCTGAGTCCTAAAGGATACGCTCAAACATCAGCAAGGCCGAAGCGGTGCTGTGAGGTCTGGTCCTGCCTCTCCTTCCCTCCAGCCTCATGGCCTCAGGCTGCTCCCTTTGAACCTGCTCTGTGCCCAGGAACTCACTCTGCTCCTTCGCATATGGATGCCTCCACCCTAAGCCTGCGATCCCCTACTTGCCCTTAGAAACAAGTGCAGATGCTACACTGTCAGCAAAGGATTCTCCCTACTTTCCTTGCGGTTTCCACCAGCGTGGTGGAATAATTTGTTATTCCAATTATTGTGTCTATCTTTACTCCACTTCAGGATTTTGCTGGCAGAGATTGACTCTTAATCACTCTGGATCCCAAGCACCCAGCGTAGATAGTAGTTGGCTCCCAGCAGGTGCCCCACAGCGATGTGCTGGAATGAGTAGCTGTGAGCCTCTGAATGAATCTGGGAGCCATGGCTCTTTGAAAAGAGATCACAGAGCTGGTGAGCAGTGAGTGACTGGAGGTCACTTGTAATTCCTTTCCACCACCGCTCACCTCACCCCACCCACCATCCCATGATGGGACTGGAGTTTGGGGAGTAAGGGTTGTGCTGGGAGGGGAGCTCTTGCCCTGGAGGACGAGGCAGAGAGATCGCAGGTAAGGATGCTGTACCTGATCGGGGCCGTGGAGTTCTCCAGCTTCCACCAGGCCTTGGGGGGGTTTAGGTAGCGGCACCACAGCTCCCAGTCAAAGCCCTGGGCGGCCAGCGGGTACTCTTCTATCTCAAAGTTGTCATATTTGATGTTGTCAAACGATGGTGAGATGATCCGCTTCCGGTTCTCCTTTATGCGGGTGAGTACGGGTTCAGCCCTGAGCAGGAGGGAGGGAGAGAGGGGTTATTGCCTCCAAGGTGAAGAGACACCAGATTGATGACTCCTAAAGCTCCTCCCCTGCGGAAAGAGGGAAAGACACCTGGACATCTCCTCCTGGGCAGGGGCCCTACCAGCCTCCCCACCCCTATACTTCTGGGCTGGCAAGAGGCCCAGCCACTCCTTAGCACCTTCTGGGCTGAGCTGAGAGATTCTTCGTGCCTTACATCCGTGTGTCTGGTTGCTTTCATTTTTTTTCACTAGAAAAAAAAAATCAAGACTTAAAGGAAGAAGAAACAGATCTGAGGTTCCCTGGGAAGCTTTCAACATGGGCTTTGATTTTGCTCAAATTTAGCACATTAACTAGGAAACAGGCAGATGAGGAAGGCAGAGACAGGGGTGAGAACAAACTTACTTCATGCTGCCTGGGGCCTTCCGTCTGTGCCCCCCAACCCCCCACACCACCCCACCCCACCCCACATGTTCGCCTCTGCCCAAGGAGAGGTGGCAGGTCTGGCTTCCAGGGAGCCAGAAGCCCTTACGGGCACCAGGCAAGTAAAGTGTTTGCAGAGAGTAATGATAAGCTTCTCATTAATAATGAATTGTTGTGTAATTGTTTATTTAAATCAGCTTGAAATAGTAAGTGTCCCTCTCCTCTCCTGGCTATAAATCCAATGAAAATGCCTTTTAAATAGTCACAAATGGCAAGCAGGGACTTCAACTATGAAAAACAGCCGCAATGCAATCTTAATTCGGCCTGTTATGTAAAAGTCTGCCCAAATCCAGGCATGCTGCGTGCAGGCCCGGCTGTTCCTTCCTGCTAAATGGCACTCTTTACCCCACTCCAGAGAGGCAGGGTGGCACCTGGAGTCTGGGAGGAGAGCAGACCCAGCGCCATCAGGCATAGTGGTCAGAAGGGGGGTTCCCTCAGCCATTCCCAGTGCCTGGTCCTCCCATGCCCAGGCTCTCTGCAAAGTCACACACAGGGGCCACAGACACCCTCTGGCCTGGAGGGATGTTGGTATCAAGTGCCCCACCCTGCTCAGATGACACTATTGAAGGTTTGTGTGTGTTCTCTTCCCCCTCACAGCAGCGGTGGCCAGAGCAATAAAGGTTTCCTAAGACCGAGTTTCACCAGGAGGGAGAATCTGCCATATTGAGCTACCACTGGCCTGGCCTTTGGGGAACTGAGGGCACTGGTGACATCAAACCACCTTAGCTCCCTCTGCCCACTAGGCCTTGGCTCGTCGGTGTGGTTGGGCTTCTGTCTCATATCTGGTCCAGCTCTCACTTTCCTGGGAGTTGCAGCCTAGTCCCTAGCCAGGCTGGCACTCTCTGCTTTGCCCATAGCATTTACCCTTTTGCCAGAGGACCACGCCAGCCAGAGTCAAGCCTCATGTCACTGTATCCTTTAGACACTGTGTGTTGACCCTATTGACCCCTGACCCTCCCCCACCCTGAAGGGGCAGCCCTTGCCTAGTCACTCACATACCCATATCTCACCTGTTCCCAGAATTCTCTGCTTACCCCCACATGACTGAGATCCCAGCATGCTTTGCACCCATCTGAGTCGAAGCTCCTGGACCACCCTCCTCTCCTGATGGGCACTTACCAGCCCACATTGAACTCCACATGGGCATCGAAGAGTGCCACTACAGGGGCAGTGGCTGCCCTCCAGCCGCTGACCCGGGAGCGGATGAGGCCCTCCTGCTTGCTGTGGCGCACGACTTTGATGAAGCCTGGCTTCTGGCCATTCACCTTGTCCACATACTCTGTCAGCTTCTCCTTCAGCTCCTCTGTGAGGAAGAAAACGTATTGTTAGCATAATGGGAACAATCAAAACATACCCCCTTTCGTGGAGAAATGACCCCCAGAGAGAGGTTGGAGGGTCCATTCCCCTCCTTGGTCTTCCTTGGTGCTCCCCAGGATGGCCAGTGCAGCTCAGATTTGAAGGGAAAAATAGAGGTGAAAATAGCATTTATGGAGCCCAGCAACTTACATAGGATCACATGCCTACACACATTGACGATTTAATCTTTATAACAAGCCCTTGGGAAAATGAGGCTCAGAAGGGTTTATGAACTTCTTCAATGTCATGCAGCATGTGAGGGGGGTGTGTGTGTGCTTTTAAGCCGGGTCTAATGATGGCACAAACCACATTCTTCTCACCAGCTCCTTCATCCCAGTGCCCTCCACAGTCCTCCCCCAATCCCGAGGGAATGCTGCATCTTCGGAGCTGGCAGCCCAGGACCCACTCCTGCTGGGTCTCCATCTCCCTAGGATGTGCGTGACCAGGAGCTGTGCCCTGTGAGCAGCTGCATTGGTTTATTGCCTGCTGTTGCTGGGCCTGGCTATACACTGAGTCCCCTGCTTCTTCATAACTGTAAGTGGGGCCTGAGCAACCCAGCAGGACCCCTCGCCCCTCCACTGGGGAGAGCACAGCAGCCACATCCACTGTGTTCTCCACAGCAGCACAGGCAACAGCCTATGAGGGTGCCGTCCCCCCAAATGATGACCTGAGTGGGCCACATTCTCCCACCTGTGACCACAGCACCTCCCCAGAACTCGAGTTCCACTCTTTTCCTATGTTATCAGTACCTGCCTCTCAATCACCCTTCCTACCACCTGCTCAGCCAGGCCCTGGACAGACCCACCGGGGCTGAGCCCCCTCCTTATCAGAGAATGAATGGTAGGAGCTCCGTGTCCCTTGGTGCCCAATCTGGGCCCCACCATGTAAGCAGCCCACTAGGTGTGAGAAAAGGGCACGAAGCAGCTGGCACAGTGCCAGGTGCATGGTAGGTGTGCCCCACGGCAGCAGCAGAGTGTAGTAGAAGGACAGTGGTTAGAGTCAACAGCACCGCATTGTATGTCTGCTTTACTAAACCAACTCTGGATGTCCATGAGGAAGTTTGGATGGGGTGAGTTTATTTTGCATATGGGAAGGACATGAACTTGGGGTGACTATAGGGTGAACTGTTATGGGTTGAATTGTGTCCCTCAAAGAAGATATGCTGAAGTCTAACCCCCTGTACCTCAGAATATGACCTCATTTGGAATTAGAGTCTTTGCAGATTTAACCAAGTTAAGATAATGGCATTAGGCCCTAATTCAACATGATAGATGATGGATACGGAGTTAGGCATGCACAGAAGGAAGACAGGTGAGGAGACACAGAGAAGATGCCGTCTGCCAGCCAAGGAACACCTGAGCTCACAAGGCGCTAGGAGAGAAGCCTGGAACAGACCCTTCCCTGCCGCCTTCAGAGGGAGCGTGGCCCTGCCTACGCCTCTAATTTGTACCCTAGGACTGACAGACAATAGATTTCTGTGTTCAAAGCCACCCAGTTTGTGGTGCTTTGTACTTTGTAGTCCTAGAAAACTAGGTTGTTATGAGGATTAAGTGGAATTGACGTGTGAAAAATGCATAACACACAGTAAATGCTAAAAAAAAGTTAGCTCCCTCCTTCCTGCCTCACAGTTTCCATCACTGGGAGTTGTAAGGGACGGAGATCCATCTCTGGTTGACAAGGCCTTCTTCATAATCTCTCATCCAGAGCCATCTCTTCCTCCTCTTCCCTGACCCCAGGTTAGAAGTCTGCTAGCAACAAGGCCATGGTGGCCAAACAGAAGATATGAATGCGTGCAAGGGCCTCACACCAGGAGGACAATGAGGCATGATGGTCACTGCCAGAAGGGTAAGCCCTCCTGCAGACATTGACTTCAAATCCTTTTACACATGAAACTGCCCAAACCGAAGGCTGGAAGGATGGTAGCCCTGCTTGAGTTACCATTGCAGAGGTGAGGAAACCGGGCATCTAAGGAAGAAATGCTGAGAGGGAGGCCGGAGCCTCTGGTCCTGGACAGCTTCTAACCTGCTCTGTGACCTTGAGCAAGTCCCTATGAATCCCAAGACCTCAGAGTGAGTTGGACAGGATACTAAGTTAGTTTTGAACCAATTATCCATCAAAGGTGTGAACCCATGTCTATCCTGATGAGCGATCCTCCAGCCCCTCCACTGACAGGGTCATTCCTCACGGAGTTACACAGACTATGACGTTCTTTTTTCTCTTGCCCTCAAGTGCCAGGGTCTCTCAACCTTCCACTCACTGGCCCAAGCCTTATTGTGTGGCCACAGAGGGCAGACCAAGCCCTCTTCCATAAGACAAGCATTTTGAGTTGAAGACCACCCTTCAGTTCTTGCTGAGGATTTCTCTAGGTCAAATATCTTTAGTTCCTCCTCATATTTCCTCATATATCATGAGTTCAAGTCTTTATACCATCTTGACCTTCCCTCTAAATATGTTAGTTTTTCTCTAACATCTTTAATCTATGCACCTAGAAATTGGCCCAATACTTCTGGAGTAAATTGGGCTATAGAGAATAGAGGGAACGAATCACCTCCCTTATTCTAGAATCTATGCCCCTATTCTTAGAGTTTAAGGTCACATTACCTTTGCCTACTTTGGACTCAAAGTGAGTTTACTGGAAGCAAACACCTATAGGTTCTCTCCACATGGTGCTGCCAAGTGAAGCCTCCTCCTGCCATCTCTTCATGCGGGGGTGGGTGCATGTATTCATGCTTGTGTTTGTGTGTGCACATGCATGTGCTGAACCAAAACATAGGATCGTATGTTTACTTCTATTTAATTCATTTTTTTAAAAGATTGATATTGTTTATCCAAAGTCAAAATGTTTCCCTGCCTGGTTCTGTTATCCAATGTCTGCTACCTAGCCCTTCCAGTTTTCTAGCTTCTAAAAGTGATGAGCCCGTGCACTTAATTCTCATTCAAGTCATTCTTTTTAAACAGTGTGACCCTGGTCCAGATCTAGGGCCAGTGGGGGCTGTCAGGCATTCTCATTCCAGCCCAGAGAAAATTCAGTTGACTTTTGGGCTGCCACCAACACGCTGTATAGCTCACTTTAGCTGATTTAAAAATGACCCCGTGATCTCGGATTGAACAGCTGACAGGGAGGCCCGGGGATGCCACTGTCGCACAAATGTCAGGAAGTTGGCCACAGAGCAGCATAACTCAGTGTGCCCCATGCTTACAGGTCTTCGTGTATGGTTGACAGGAGGCCTCTTAAAACGCTGTGTCATCACTTCAAAGTCTACCCCGCATATGTCCTTTTTAGGAATGTTAAATAGAGAGCTCATAAAACCTAATATTTGACAGTGAGGTGGCGAGTGTACGGCACTTGGAGTGAGAACTGGGGTAGTAACTCGCTCCACAGGTGAGAGTCGCTGCCTGTGGGGACCGCTTCTATGGTGTTGATGGGACAGGGCACTGGATGACTGCCCCCAAATGACCCCCCACAAACCCCATCTCTCTGAATTCACAGTCAGTGTGCAGCTGCCTCACACACTGACTCTGGGCTGGCCGTGTGACAACAGGGTGCAACAGGAGGGACCTCCTGCCAGTCCCAGGCCTTGGGAGGCCTGCAGCTTCTGCTTTCCTTCTCTGGCTGCCCTAAGTGAGGAAGCCGGAGCCAGGTCCTTGTGGATGAGAGGCCCAGAGAGGCCCCAGCCATTAGGCTACCCCACCGAGGCCCCAGACATGTGAGTGAGGCCACCTTGGATCCTTTGGCCACGGGCTGACTGTGAACACAGGGAACCCGGCTGACACCTCATAGAGCAGAAAGGAACTGCCCCTACCACAGAATCACGGCACCAGCCCTTATTGCAGAATTATGAGCCAATGAATGGTTGCTGTTTTAAGCCATTAGCTTCTGGGGTGGTTTGTTATACACAAAAGCTATTAAAACAGGACCTATTGTTCTGGTATGATGCTGGGGTTAAAATAAGATTGTGAACTCCTGAGGCACAGGAAATGAATTCAGACACAGAAGAGCCAGCTAAGAAGGTGGCAGCAAGAGATGAAAAGGCTTTCTTTCTCTTAGCAGCTGCTTGCCCCTTTGTACCTCTGAGCTCTGTTAACAGTGAACTAGAATAAAAGTTTCTAGTGCATCAGCTAGAGAAAAATCCTGTTCTCAGAGAGCTATATCCCAAACAGTGGCTGCTGTTTAGCTCTAACCAAACAATTTTTAATTTTTTTTTAAAGGCATATAATGTCCTGGATAACACTGGCTCAGTCTTTTCAAAACACCTTTACCTAATAAGGTTTTCATTTTTTCCTTCAACCTTTGTCAACTGCCAAAGCAAAAAATATCTCAAGAGTACTTCCGTATTCATTAGAAAACTATTGTACAAGATATTGCCTATTACATATTCTACATCATATATGATAAATACGTCTCAGAACGTAGCTCAAAAAACATATAAAAAACTTTACTTACCTAAACTCAAACTCATAACCCATTATATTTACCTTTTTGCCAAGGCTACCAGGGAGCTTAGAGACAAATACAATGACGAATCACAGGTTTCTATGAGCATTTTTGCTTCTCTAACTTTGCTAAAGATTTGATTTTCAACTTGTAGCCTAAAAGCTACATTGTCTTTTACCTTTTTTTTCTACATAAGCTACCTTTCATTATTTTTGAAATCTCTATAAATAACTTTTATAAAATGTCTTTGGAGAGCATGACAGGGGTATAATTGTGGAAATAAAGGGAAGGCTGTATTTCATGTTTGTTTTAATGTGCTGAGGAAAGGGGAGATAGGAAGTCTGTTCTCTGTGACTTTGCCAAATTTAGAATCAATGGCAGAGCTGTAGACAGCACCAGCTCTAACGAAGAAATACAATTTGCGCCCTGCATGGGGCCAGGTGTTACCCTGTTCCTATTGCTCCTCCAGCCCTCTCTTGCTGTCCACAAATCCCTGTTCTGCTGACATCTGG